ATGTCGGAGCTGGGCAAAAACGAGCGGAGGAAGGGAGGGACTTCCGTCTGGGCGTTTGCTTGTGTGTGAGAGCCGGCTGTTTAGTGTTTTGGACTGTTTATGGCTGTGAATCCGACGGGAGTTTTGTAAAACGGAAAAGTTTGAACTGTGACAGCGAGGAGTGCCTGGCAAGCGCTTATATACGTTAACAGTTTCGAGAAGGACCCAATAGAGAGTTTGGGAGCGGAAATAAAAGCGAAATTAAATTAATACCATTCTCAAAGCTGGGGACCTCCAAGGCATGAAAGGAAGAGGATTTATAATGCATGAACTGAGTGTGTTAACAGCAACCCGAAGGAGAATTTAACAAGCCGGAAGTAGAAGGCAACAGAGGAAACCCCTCCTTGTCAGCGATTGTAAAAGTGCCCAACACGCAAAGAAGCGCAAAGAAGCGGTTCTGACTGTATCCAGAAGAGTTTTTTTTTTTATTAACAGAACTCAAGGGAACATTACTAATATACTAACAGAGAATCACATGAGACCGGACTAAGAAAAGAAGTTTGACAACACACAGAAGAAGCCCAAGAAGATTAATTGGACATTACTAACAGTTTAATTTACCAGTTTATATATCACTCAGCTTTCTCTTTCTCCCACTGTCTACCTTTCCCTTTTTTCTTTTAAGCAAAATACCTCCCCTTTTCAGGGGAGCTAATAAAATCTTTATAAAAAAAAAAAAAAAGCATTTTTTCCAGCAGTGCACAAACACGGTACTGTTTCAGTTTGTTCAGTCTATTTCATTGCTCCTTTGGATATAGAGATGTGGGGGCTGAGACTTGTCCCAGACTCTTGGATTACAAAGTGTGTGTTCTGTCATGTGCCTTAGTTCTCATGTTGTAAACTCCTTGGGATATGAACCCAGTCTATATTTCTCATGCTATATGCATCCGAAACTTGCTACTGTTTATTTCTCGTTAAGTAACATGGACAGGATTGGGTTACACAAGAGTTGCAACATTTACTTACATTTAGGGAAAAAATAGCTTCTTTAGAGCAATATCACAACTTCCCTTTCTTATATTTGAGCAAGAGAACTACAAGAGTCTTGGTCCAGCATCTTTACTTGATTTTTGTATAAATGTAATCAAGGTGCCAATCCAGCTAAAGTTAACTGTGATGAAGGACATTGGTGTCAATGGTAAGAAGTTACTTATAGCTACTTTAAATCCCACTGGGGGGGGGGGCTGACCATTATAGCCAAGTAGGCCAATGCCCCTCCCAGCTGGGCCAGCCCATCCTGCCTGGGAGAGGTGGTGCCTGGGACAGTATTCCTTCTTAGCAGTGCATATGAGTGGCTGCTCATTAACACAGGAATCTCCGCTGTTCTCGGTGGCAGCTGTGACGCGGGGGGGAGGGGCGGGGGGGGCGAAACATTCTCTTGCCTCCCTGAGCCCCATGGTGGTGGCCTTGGACTCCTAGGAGCAAATTCCACCTCTTGCGTGTGCCCCCCCTCCCCTCCTTTTTCAGGCTCCGCGCTAGAACGCTGGACTTGAAAAAGGGCCAGCCGAATGTCAATTTCGGCCCCAGTATATCCTATGGGCCATTGAACTCAATGGCGAAAACATAGGATATATTCTGGGGGCTGGAGGGGAGGGGGCTTGAGGGAGAGGCTCCAAACTCGCAGGGTAGCTGCTGGAGCCTATCCTCAAGATACCAACCACGTTTGGACCAGGGGGTCCAATTCTACGGGCCCCCAAACAGATTGCCCCTATCCCCTCCATTGTTCTCTATGGTGGGGAAAATGTAACTTTTTTCCCACCATAGAGAACAATGGAGGGGATGGGGGCAACCTGTTTGG